ATTTAAATAAAATAGATAATAAATAATTAATAATTAATATAATAAATTCTAATATCGTGTTTAAATATTATGTACAAAGTTATCTTTAAATCATATAATATAATAGAAATAAAATAAACTTATTCAATAAAATATTTGTTAATATTTAAAATATTCAATTATTTATGTTCTATTAATTATTTCATTTCTTTTAATATCATTTCTCTTTATTGTCATAAACTACTTCAATTGATTTATTTATTCTTTTTTCGTAATTTTATTCATTCTTTCTATTTTTCATCAACAAAACATAAATTTAAACTATCCCCTTGTTTTTTTTTTGACTCTCTGAACATATACAAAATCATCCATTTCAAATTTCTCTAATTGATATTTGAAGAATAATGAATTTAATAATATACATTTATAAACAATACAATCGAATTTCACTAATTGATGTTTGTATATTTATATTTTTAATGATGAACAACCATAAAAATAACTGCTTCTTAATTTTCTAACTACTACTTGTATATTAATGATGTTAATTCATAACATTTATTAAAACAATCATTTCAAATGATTTAACTTTTCTTTATATTGTATCTCTATATTTGTATCTATCATAATTTGTATATTTAATATTTTCATAATACTTCTTTTTCTTTTAAATATACTAAATAATCTACTGTATACTATCTATATATTTTTTAAATATTCTTCGATCTTTAAACAATTTATTTTTTATTATAAATATGAAATGTTTCAATATTAGCAAATAATTTTCTTGAATAATAATTTAAAGAAATTGGATTAAAATAAAATCGTTCCATATTTCCTTGAAATTTTTTAATTCCAATTTCTAAATTAATAAAGTCATTAACAGCATTAAAATACTTTGATGTTATCATTATTTCATTATATCCTAATTTCATTATTGATTTATTATTTATTAGTTCTTAATTTATTAGTTCTTTTAGTAATAATTTAAATGAAGTTGTTTTGTTGTTATATTCAATTCAGAAATAAAGATTAATATAAGATAAATACAGAATATGAATTTGATATTATTTCATTGAGTATTATCAATAATCTGAAAATTGAAATATGATGATCTGAATGAATTTACTGATGAATGATGAATATAAAGAGAAAATGAGATGTGTTATAAGAATATAAAATTATTTAAACATCAAAATGATGAATGTCAAGTAAATATGATAGAATAGAATAAAAATAAATAAACAAATTAATTATATCACATTGTGTATTTCATCATTAATTTATCAAATAAATACAATGTAAATAAAAAACATAATACAAAATAAAACAACTAATGAAGAAGAGATTACAATTAAGAAATAGAAGACAGATAAATTCTTTGCTCAAAGTTAAAAGTCATTGATACTTTTTGTTTTTTAGTTGATAAGAACTTGATAAATCATAAAAAAGAACATGACAATAATTACTTTCCAAATAGGAAATAAACCAATAACCACAACATATAAAACAATCAGAAATGATATGGAAAAGATTCTTAATGAGATGATCGGAATAAATGATAAAGATGTGGAGGAGTTTTATCAGAGAGAAATGAATATCATGAAAGAAATTGGAACAAAAATCAAAGAAACAGAGAAAGGATATGAATATTTGATAAAACAAGTTGAATTAATAGAAGATGCACATTACAATATCATCACAAAATGCTATGATGATAAATATCAGTTAAATGAACAAGGAAAGAGAAGTATTGTTTGTTAAATATGGTATTTTATAGAAAATACAAGAAAATAAGAAAATAGGAAAGTATCAAGAAATGTTACAGTGACATTATCAGTACAATGATAATATATTGCATCCACATTGACTACATCATCGAAAATCTTTAATTCACTTCTTTTTTAAATAAACAACACAAATAATAGAAATAAACAAAAAGAACTTGAAAAAAAGAAATGAGTGTGTTTATTGAAACAAGTCTTGGGAATGTTGTAATTGACTTATTCACAGAAGATAATCCAGTAGGATGTTATAATTTCATTAAGCTGTGTAAAATTGAATATTATCTTCATTGTATCATTTATCGAGTAATCAAATATTAATAAAATGAAAATTAAGGATAACAATAATCAAATGATTACATTCAAATGATATTGAAATGAATGAATACAAATACAATATTTCAACAACAAACAAAAGATGAATAATACAGAAAAAGAAATAAAGAAAATACATAAAATAAGAGTAAATAATACAGAAAAGAATAAATTAAAATATTAATCAAATAACAAACATACAATAAATAAATACAAATAAAAGAACAAAACAATGAAATGAATAATAAAACAATTAAGAAATAATATAAATTAAAATAAATTAAAAGTAATATTCAAGTTACATAACAAAACAAAAAATAAGAAAGAATAAAAGAATAAAGAATGATGTAAATAAATAAAAGAATTTGAATATAATAAATTAAAGAATGATAATAACATAATAAAGAAACAAGAAAATAATAAGAATTAAGAATAAGAAATATAACATAATAAATTGTAATGATTAATTCATTATTATTAATTTCATTATTCATTACTCTTTCAAATAAAATGAAATTAATAAAGAAATAAGTTAAGTTATAAACACTCATTATATTTATTATTTGATAGTGTTTGAAGTAATCTTGTTCTTTGTATGGTTGGTACTTAAATAAACCATATTTAATAAAAATTATTTCATTTCAATTACAATGATTCGTTTTGGTTTGAAATCTTTTTCACGTTGTATTCCACAAATTGTGTTTATTACTGAATTATTTTTGTAAATGCGGTATTTACGTGATGAGCATTTTTTATGCTTTTCTTTATAAACACAAATATCATTTTCTCCAATAATAAATAATTCAGAGCTTGATGAATCACATAAATAAAATGAACGCTGTAGTCTTTGAATATTAAAGTTTATTGTTCCATCCATTCTTCCATTTGACTCTATTGAAAATAAAAATGATTTTGAATCATATATCCACTTATTAACTTTATCAATTTTAGTATCAACATATCCTCCAAACTTATTTCCTTTTGTGTCTTCAATAATAATTATTATATGTTCTTTACTCACTATTCGTTTATCAAACACTGACGTGTCTTCATTCCAATCATCAATATCTGAATTAAATAGTATATCAGATATTCTTCTCTCTGTCAAACCTTCGAACTCTTTTATTAACTTTTCATAAAACGTTCTATTTCTTGACGTTGTTGTTCCCATTATTTGTTATTGTATCTTGTTTTTAAGATGTTTTATGTTATTTTAAAGTTCATTATTGATTATTATAATAAATTTATAGTTAATAACCTTGTTTTAATTGATCTACTAAATAATAAATAGACTAGTGTTAATTTTCAAGTGAAATATCTAAAGTACATGAAAACTTTCACATGAAACATTGGAATGGTTTACAACAATTTTAGAATTGTAATTAAGAAATGTTAATTAAAAAATTTTATTTTTTGTTGTTTTATTTCTATTTTTATGATTATTTTATACCTTGTTTTAAATAACATATTTATATTTTTGTTATTATTTATTATTTTTCATTTATGTTAATTTCAATAACGAATAGTATACTCAATGACTATACTTCTTTTTATTCTATCTGAAGTGTCATTTATTTGTACATTAAATAATCTAATAAATGAACTTTATTTCTTTATCTTCATTTTGATATTCTTCTTATTATTAAGTTATTTCATTTGTGTTATTTTGAACATCAAATTATTTTGTTTTCTTTAAATTTCTTCTTTCAGTGTCTTCTTA